ACACTGATAGAGAGATATGCACAGTTGTTTGCTCCCCCAGGTATTAATACATACTCTGAGTTAATTACTAAGTAAAAAGTGATTTTATTAAATAGGATTTAAGTGGTTCCAAGTAGTAACAGACAGAACAAAGTAAGTCACCAAGCAAAATAAAATAAAACATGCAAATCCATGTCTAATCAAACACTGAATACAGATAAGATCCTCACCAGTTCCAGAATGCTCCGTTTTACAGGCTAATCTCCTTTTAGCCTGGGTCCAGCAATCCCTCACACGCTCTGTAGTTACTGTCGTTTGTTCCAGTTCCCTTCCAGTATTCTGGGGGGTGGAGAGGCTCCTTCTTTAGCCAGCTGAAGACAAAATGGAGGGGTCTCCCAGGGGTTTAAATAGACTTTATCTTGGGGGTGGAGACCCCCTCCTCACCCTGTGTAGAATCCAGTCACAAAATGGAGATCCGGAATCGCATGGGCAAGTAACATGCCCATGCATGACTCAGGACTTGCAGGTAGCAACCATTACCCACATGTTACCTTGAACGTCCTCAGGTAGACTTCTTATGTGGATTGGAGCCTTCCAAGCTCTTTTGTCTGTTAAGTGCTTCCTGATTGAGCACCTAATTTGCACATTCCTTTCCCAAGAAGTGACCAAATGTTCTAACTAAGGCCTTGGCGACACTGGCAATTCACTGCGCTGCACTTGCTGCGCTCAGGGGTGTGAAAAAACACCTCCTCTGAGCGCAGCGAGTGCAGCGCTGTAAAACGTCAGTGTAATCAGCGCCTGCAGCGCTGCACGCTCGCTCGCAGCACTGCAAGCTATTCCCCTCAGAGAGGTGGAGTACTTGCAGCGCTGTGAGCTATTCCCCTCAGAGAGGTGGAGTACTTGCAGCGCTGCGAGAGAGCTGTGAATCCGCGGCAGCGCTGTGAATCCGCAAGTGTAGCCAAGGCCTAAGGCTACTTAGAAATCAAGCAATTATACAGCCAATGTTCATAACTTTGAACACATAAATGGTGCCTGCATACAACTAGGATGAACATAACCAGTAGATCATAACCTTTACATAGATATGTTACATGGCATATGTAGCAAACCCCTATTCCAGTTATATCATACATTCATTTAAAGCCTTATGGGGTAAACTGTCACACCTTCCAACCCTGATATTCTATGATTCTATGAAATCACGGCACTTCTCCCTGAGCGAGGAACCCGGGGGTAGGCACGTTTGTGTGTGGCGCTTGTCATGGCTGAGTAAATGCCCTTCAGCAGAGACTGGAGGTGGGGAATGGGAGAGGGGTCACAAGCCCCCACGGCAGCTGCTAGCGACCTCTTCCCTCCGGCTGTGCTGTGGAACAGCCGGGCTGCGATAGCCTGGGTTATGGCTGACGCGTTCTGGGAAGGGGCGTCTGAGAGAAGGCGGGGAGGGAGCTCAGTGTGGTACCGTCCCTTGAAGCTGCACAGTGAAGGACGCGCAGGCCTGCTGTTCAAGCACTGCCTGTCGCTGAGTGATGCAGCCGGTCACAGAGCTGCACACGGTGACTGCTGTAAAACCTGATGGGAAGGATGGCCTAGTAGGCTTGAGTTCTCTTCTCCTGCACAGACTTCCCATGGCCCAACCTGTTGGTGCTCCAGTTTCTGTCCATTGTGGATAGTAGCCGCGCCCTGTCTCACAGAGGTATTGGGGGGAGAAATACATCAAAGCCTGGGAAGTGCTCAAATACCATAGGGGGCCATAGAAATACTTACGGTAGAATAAAAAGGGGCTTAGACACAGGGAAATCATCCATGTGTACCTGCAAATCCCCTTTCTTCTAACAGGAAGCTCTGTAGTTCCCCTCCAGTAGGTCTCCAGCCTGCCTGGAGCCCAGAATCGAGCCTGTTGGGCAAGGCATGGGAAGTTGTGGCTCAGTCCCTGAACAAGAGAATTGCCAAAGCAGCTTTAGAAGAGTTACTTTATTTTTAATATTGAAACTGTAAGCTCATTTTGTTCTGTGCCTGCCCAGTGCCTGGCACAGCGGGGGCTGGGGCCATGGCTGGGGCTCCCAAGTGCTCTGCCAATATCAATAATAAATTAATTTGTCATGAACAATGAGGAAGTAATACCCTCCCATTACAGTTAATTACTGCAGGGAACCTATTCTCCTCAGTCAAAAAACAGCTCTTGAGATACAGTCCAGAGGTCAGATGTTTTCTTCAGCTGGGTGAGATCTGTGGCCTTCCCTACTAGAAGGATGGACACTTTGGGGTAAGCATGGGTAGCTGTTTCTGCTCGACTGTACTGCGAGGGGTCACCAGCCCTTTGCGGTGGGATTTAAATAGCAGCCATGGAGGGACCGCAAATAGCTGTATGCATTAAAGATGCAACGGGAAAATGGCTTGCCCGGACAGCCAGAGAAGGAATGCTGGTGAGATCCATGTGCAGGGTCCTGCCCAGGGAAGGGACCTGATCCATCTTTCCTAATGGTCACTGAGCTGTTGCCAGTGAGAGCTGGAGGCAACTGCTGGCCTTTCTGCTGTTTTGTACGTGTCTCTGAACTCTGGGCTGAAGCTGCAGACTTCACACTTCCCTGTCTTCAGACCTGACCCCCCTGCCTCTTCTCTCTCAGGTTAGACGACGAGAGGAGGTGGCTGTCTGTCCCTAAAGTCTACGTCCTCCAGCCTTGGATTTTGAACCTCTTGATGAAATACGAACAGTTGGACTCCAGAAATACTCAGGTGCCTGGGCATATCCTGAAAGTAAGTGACTGGGACTTGCTGTGCATCACTTGCCTCTTCCTAGTGCCCTGTTGGACGGGGGAAACCTCTGCTGTGGGATGTCACCGTGGCTTGAGCGTTTCTGCAGGGCTCCACTCACTGGGCTCCCCGAGGGCTAGCCAGGAGGACATGGTGCAGGTTCATTGCCCCTCCCCCAGAAAGGGTAGGGAACTGAGACACATTAGAGGGCTGGTCTTTCCAGCTCCCCACACACCATCTTGCTCTAAAATTGAACTCCCTCCTGGGGCTCTGGTTCTCTCTTCTCCTTGAATGTGGTGCAGTTTTCTCTCCCTCTCTCTCCCACGTGCCTGCCAGTTCTTTGTCTGGTTCTCTCCCGCCCCTGTGGCATTTCTCTTTCGGCTTTTTGGGTGGGGATGGGCTGAGATCTCTTTTTGCCCCTCATGGTCAACATACCACATGACCCCCTCCCATGTCTGAGCCCTGAAGCGCATGGTGCTGCTGCTCTTTCCATCAGCCTGAGGTGGTCGCTAGCCAGCTGGGCAAGGCAGCCCTTTCCCACAGCACTCCCACACCTGCTGCAATGGTGCTGCCCCTTCCCTTCCTAGATCTGGGTCTCGTCCCACTCTTGTTATTTGAACACTGGATAGAGACAGGTGCCTGCCCTGAGGGGTTTGCAGGGTATGTCTATCTTGCAGTCAGGAGTATGATCGCAGCACGTGTAGATGTACCCAAGCTAGATCAAAGCTAGCTCTAGCACGAATCGCAGTGAAGTCATGGTGGGACCCTGAGCGGCTGCCTCCCGTGCTGCCGTGGTTTCACTGCTATTGTTACTTGAGCCAGCTTAGCTGGGCTATGTCTACACATGCTGCAGTCACAGTGGAGACACGCCCACGAACTACAGAGGCATAGCTGGTGGAGAATGGGGCAGGAAGGCAGTGCCTTGGCCTCACTAAGACCAGAGTGTGTGTGTGGGGTGAGCGTAGTTTGTGTCATTAATGTCATAAGAGAAGACGGAGGCTGTGATGCCTGAGGCTGGTTGGGAATTTTTCAATAAAACTTTTTTTCCTTTGGAAAACGTCAATTCATCTAAATCAAAACTTGTCGCAGGAAAGGGTCAATTTTGACAAAGTTCTCGTTTCAGAAAAAAGTTTGATTTGTCCATGTTTTGTTTTATGCAGGATTATTGTAGCCGTGTTGGTCCCATGGTATCAGGGACAAGATGGGTGAGGGAATATCTTTTATTGGACCAACTTCCATTGGTGAGAGAGACAAGCTTTTGAGCCCCACAGACCTGAAGATGGGCTTGTGTAAGCTCAAAAGCTTGTCTCTCACCAACAGACATTGGTCCAATAAAACTTCACCCACCTTGTGTCTCATGTTTCATTTTGACATTTTCTAAAGAAAAAGTTCAGTTTTTCAGTTAGAAGCCACTTTTCATTCCAAAAGTGAAGTTAATTTATAGTAAAAATATGAAAAAGGTCAGAATTGAAACAAAACACTTCAACTGGGGACGGGCTGAGGGGGAGATGGTACCTAGGGAGATGGAATCTCCATCCTTATAGGTTTTTAAGGTCAGGCTTGACAAAGCCCTGGCTGGGATGATTTAGTTGGTGTTGGTCCTGCTTTGAGCAGGAGGTGGGACTAGATACCTCCTGAGGTCTCTTCCAACCCTAATCTTCTATGATTCTAAGGGTACGTCTTCACTTACCGGAGGGTCCGGCGGCAGGCAATCGATGTTCTGGGATCGATCCCGGAAGTGCTCGCCGTCGACGCCGATACTCCAGCTCAGCGAGAGGAGTACGCGGCATCGACGGGGGAGCCTCCGTGCCACGTCTGGACCCGCGGTAAGTTCGGACTAAGGTACTTCGAATTCAGCTACGTTATTAATGTAGCTGAATTTGCGTACCTTAGTCCGAAGTGGGGACTTAGTGGGGACCAGGCCTATGAATTGATCCAAACTGATTTATTATTATTTTTGGATGCTCAGTTTGCAAATATTTTTGAGATTTTGACTTTTTATCCCAATTTGGGATGGGAATGTTTTTTTAAATCAACGTAAGAACGGCTGTATTGGGTCAGACCAATATCCTTCTAGCCTAGTATCCTGTCTTCCGACAGTGGCCAATGCCCAGGTGCTTCAGAGGAAATGAACAGAACAGGGCAATTATCAAATAATCCATTCCTTGTCGCCCATTCCCAGGTTCTGGCAGTCAGAGGTTTAGGGACACCCTGGACATGGGATTGCATCCCTGACCATCTTGCTAATAGCCATTGATGGACTTATCCCCCATGAACTTACCTCATTCTTTTTTGAAACCACTTATACTTTGGCCTTCACATCATCCTTTGGCTGTGCATCGTGTGAATAAGTACTTCCTTTGTTTGTTTTAAACGTAGTGCGTATTAATTTCATATGGTGCCTGCTGGATCTTGTGTTCTATGAAAAGGAAGTGTTATTTACCCTATTTGCTTTCTCCACACCAGTCATGATTTTATAGACCTCTATCATATCTGCCCTTAGTCCTCTCTTTTCTAAACTGAACAGTCCCAGTCTTTTTAATCTCTCCAGTAATTTTTGTTGCCCTTCTCTTTACTTTATCCAGTTCTAATTAGGGCTGTCAAGTGATTAAAAAGATTAATCGCAATCAATTGTGTGATTAAACAATCCTGGAATCATGTTTTCTACATTTTCAAATATATTTATTTCAGTTACAACACAGAATACAAAGTGTACAGTGCTCACTTTATATTTTTTTATTACAAATATTTGTGTTGTAAAAAAACCAAAAGAAATAGTATTTTTTCAATTCACCTCATACAAGTACTGTAGTGCAATCTGTTTATCATGAAAGTTGAATTTACAAATGTAGAATTATGTACAAAAAATAACTGCATTGAAAAATAAAACAATGTAAAACCTACCAGTCCATTCAGTCCTACTTCAGCCAGTTGCTCAGACAACCAAATTTGGTTACAATTTACTGGAGATAATGTGCCCACTTCTTGTTTACAATGTCACCTGAAAGTGAGAACAGGCGTTCTCATGGCACTGTTGTAGCCGGCGTCAAAAGATATTTACATGCCAGATGCGCCAAAGATTCATATGTCCCTTCATGCTTCAACCACCATTCCAGAGGACATGCATCCATACTGATAATAGGTTCTGCTTGATAATGACCAAAGCAGTGCGAACGGACGGATGTTCATTTTCATCATCTGAGTCCAATGCCACCAGGAGAAGGTTGATTTTCTTTTTTGGTGGTTTGGGTTCTATAGTTTTCGCATCAGCTTTGGACTTAACTATTTAGAGTAGTTTTGTATCATCTGCAAATTTTGCCACCTCACTGTTTACCCCTTTTCCCAGATCATTTATGACTGTTATGACTATATATACTCCCGCAGTATTCTTGCCAGCAAGTTAAAGAAGTATGGGTTGGATGAATGGACTATAAGGTGAATAGAAAGCTGGCTAGAGAGCTGGGCTCACTGGGTAGTGATCAACGGCTCGATGTCTAGTTGGCAGCTGGTATCAAGCGGAGTGCCACAGGGGTCGGTCCTGGAGCCAGTTTTGTTCAACATCTTTATTAATGATCTGAGTGGTGGGATGGACTGCACCCTCAGCAAGTTCGCAGATGACACTAAGCTGGGGGAAGAGGTAGATATACCGGAGGGTAGGGATAGGGTCCAGAGTGACCTAGACAGATTGGAGAATTGGGCCGAAAGAAATCTGATGAGGTTCAACAAGGACAAGTGCAGAGTCCTGCACTTAGGACGGAAGAATCCCATGCACTGTTACAGACTAGGGACCGAATGGCTAGGCAGCAGTTCTGCAGAAAAGGACCTAGGGGTTACAGTGGATGAGAAGCTGGATATGTCAGCAGTGTGCCCTTGTTGCGCCAAGAAGGCTAACACGTATAAGTAGGGGCATTGCCAGCAGATCGAGGGAAATGATTTATTCCCCTCTTTTCGGCACTGGTGAGGCCACATCTGGAATATTGCATCCACTTTTGGGGCCCCCCACTACAGAAAGGATGTGGACAAATTGGAAAGAGTCCAGTGGAGGGCAACGAAAATGATCAGTGGGCTGGGGCACATGACTTATGAGGAGAGGCTGAGGGAACAGGGCTTGTTTAGTCTGCAGAAGAGAAGAATGAGGGGGGATTTGATAGCAGCCTTCAACTACCTGAAGGGGGGTTCCAAAGAGGATGGAGCTCGGCTGTTCTCAGTGGTGGCAGATGACAGAACAAGGAGCAATGGTCTCAAGTTGCAGTGGGGGAGGTCCAGGTTGGATATTAGGAAACATTATTTCACTGGGTGCGGGGAGGGGAAGCACTGGAATGGGTTCCCTAGGGAGGTGGTGGAATCTCCATCCTTGAGGTTTTTAAGGCCCTGCTTGACAAAGCCCTGGCTGGGATTTAGTTGGTGTTGGTCCTGCTTTGAGCAGGGGGTGGGACTAGATGACCTCCTGAGGTCTCTTCCGATCCTAATCTTCTATGATTCTATGCTGAACGGAGACCCAGCTGTTTACCTCTCTCCACTGACCATTTATTCTACCCTTTGTTTCCTATCTTTTAACCAGGTACTGATCCATGAGAGGCCCTTCCCTCTTATCCCATGACAGCTTAGTTTGCTTACAAGCCTTTGGGGAGGGACCTTGTCAAAGGCTTTCTGCAAGTCCAAGTACACTATATCCACTAGATCACCCTTGTCCACCTCGTGTTGATACCTCAAAGAATTCTAACAGATTTGCAAGACATGATTTCCCTTCACAAAAGTCATGTTGACTGTTCCCCAGCATATGCTGTTCGTCTCTGTGTCTGATCATTCTGTTCTTTACTGTAACCAATTTGCCTGGTACTGAAGTTACGCTAAGCGACTTGTAACTGAAACTGAAAACTTTCTAAAAAATCAGCATTGCATTAGCTACCCTCCAGTCATCAGGTACAGAGGCTTGTTTAAGTAACAGATTACATACCACAGTTAGAAGTTCTGCAATTTCATATTTGAGTTTCTTGAAACTTTTGGATGAATACCATTTGGTCCTGGTCACTTACTACTCTTTGTTTAATCATTTTGTTCCAAAATCTCCTCTACTGACACCTCATTCTGGACAGCTTCTTAGATTTGTCACTTCAAAAGAATGGCTCAGGTGTGGGAATCTCCCTCACATCTTCTTCAGATGAAAATAATTCATTTAATTTCTCCACAATGGCCTTGTTTTCCCTGAGTGCTCCTTTAGCATCTTGATCGTCCAGTGGCCCCACTGATTGTTTGGCAAGCATCCTGCTTCTGATGTACTTAAGTGTGTGTGTGTGTGTGTGTGTGTGTGTGTGTCTTTTGCTAGTTGCTCTTCAAATTCTGTTTTTGGCCTACCTAGTTATACTTTTAAACTTGACTTGCCAGATTTTATGCTCCTTTCTGTTTTCCTTAGTAGGATTTAACTTCCAATTTTTAAGCAATGTCTTTTTGTCTCTAACTGCCTCTTTTATTCTGTTGTTTAGCCATGATGGCATTTCTTTTGATGGTCTTGCTGTTTTTGTTTTTTGGTTTCTTTATTTGTGATATTCATTTAGTTTGAGCCTCTGTTATGCTCCTCCATGCAGCTTGCAGGCATTTCACTCCTGTGACTGTATATTTTAATTTTGATTTAACTAGCTTCCTCATTTGTGTGTCGTTCCCCTTTTTGAAGTTAAATGCTACTGTGGTGGGTTTCTTCGGTATTTTCCCCTCTACAGGGATGTTAAATTTAATTCCCCTGTGGTTATTACTGAGCGGTAATAATCTCAAAATTGTTTGTGGGATGGAAAAACAGTTTCCTTCCCAGCTCTAGTGAACCCCCTTCCTCTGCCTATGTACACCCCTGAGCTGCTCTCATGCAAACTGATCACAGGGGAGTTTGCCGCCTGCCTTAGAAATTCCAAACAACTTTTTCTTCACTCCTGCCAGTCATCTGCTCCCTCTTGCCATCTGTCCTGAATTAGCCCCCTTTCCTCTCCTGAATGGGACCCCCATCCCCCTGCCTCTCTTCTGCACTCCCTCTTTTCCTCTATGACCAGTCTTCCTTCTGCTGTGTTAATTCCGATGGAATAAATGAGCCCAGCAAGTCAAGGGTGTTAACATGACTCTGTCACTGTCTGACATTAAACATTAAGCATTGCTTGGGGTTTTGAGCACAGAAACCTGCTAAGTCCCAGGACAACAGCCAGTAAATTGTTTTAAACCTTTTATTAAAGATACAAAAAAAGAAGGAAACACAGCGAGAGCATTTAGAAAGGAGAGTATGAAGTAAGGCTTTCATTTTAACAGTATCTCTTCCTCCCTTTCCCTTTCGCTGTAGAAAGCTTCTTCTAAGGAAGAGCACCTGACAGTTTTTAAATTGTGTTAAAGATGATGATAAATGTCCTTTTGGGGGGAAATTAAACAGATGAGTTGAAATGAGCTGCAGTTGTTTTGGTGGAAGTCCAGTCTTGCTTCCTTATGATAAAGCAAGACAAAAGAGGGCAAAAAGAACAGCAAAGATAGAAGATGCAGCTCTGTCTTTGGTGCTGACTTTCACTTGCAACCTCTTTGCTGGAGAAACATGTGGTCTGATCAGCCATGCTGAGACCTGGCAAACTCGTACCAATGTCGGGCTGTTTAGGGCATTGCTTTCAGCTGCCTTTTCTGGTCGCAAGCTCAGAGCAGTGCTGCAAAAGAATGGCGTTGTCTAAGCCAGACTCTAGACAGAAGATAGAAAAAGAGTGAGAGACGGGAAGGAAAAAGACACTTCAGGGTGGGGGTGTGAACAGGGTGTGTTCAGGGTTTAGCTGGAGCCCAATGTTGTCAGTTCCCTCTCTGGCTGGGGCTGCTCAGAATGCCTTTCAGGACCGGGATGATGAAGGTCCATTGGTGTCATAGCAGCTCCCAAGGTCCCAGCCAGGAGGGTAAAGCGTGCTCCTTCCAGTCCAGCCATCCCTGGTGCTCTGAGCCCTTTCAAAGCCTATTTTTAGGGACCCCAAAAGAGAGTGGTGTGCACAATAGCCCATCCCCTCATTACTGTGACTACGGGGGAGGTTTACTTTCCAACATACCAATTTTGGTCTGTTAATTTCCGATTCCATTCTTCCTGCATTTACCAGTCATTACCGTCACACAGCCCCTGGGCACAGTCCCTCTGTGTGATGCTAACCCAGTCTGGCGGTCTCTAACGTTTGCTGACTTTTATAAACAATTTCATGTAACAGGCCGAGCTGGACTTTTGTAACCCTGGACAGGCCTCCGTGCAATACTTCCCAGCTCTGGCTGCTTCCTCTCGAGGGGCCTTTCTGACCCAACCTGGGACTGGTGTCATGTGACCATGGGGAAGCACCACTAAGCAAGGAACTGCCTTAGAGCCAGGGCAGTCGCCATGCTTCTCACTCTGCTTCCCTGCAGGGCTCCTGCCCACAGCCTTCCCCGGCCCCCTCCTGCCTGGCTTCCTGCTGACAACGTTCTCTAAGTCTCTGGCTGGTGGGGCCACCTCTCCTTTGCCCCTCGCCTGATTCTCTCTCCTCCCTGTGGGTAGCTCCTGCTGTTACCCAGCCTGAGGAGTAGCACTCTCATGACCCCCGCTGTTTCCATCTGCTGCTCCTCCTAAGTGTGATTCCCTGCCAGGCAGGCATGGGCAGATGCAGAGCTCCTGTGACTTCAGGGGTGAATTTAATGCACTGACTTCATGGTGAGTGCTCGTAAAGGGGGCCCGAGTGTCTGCAGCATCCCCTGCCCTGGCTGTCTTGCTGGGAGCAGTGTTGAACGCTAGCTCTGCTCCTCGAGGATGATGGAAGAGTCAAGCCCATGTTTGTTTGTTTTCCCAATCTCTCGATAGGTTGTGAGTGACTTGAAGGCTGCAGACCAAGGCAGTGCCGCCGTCCTGCACATCTCAGATGGGTCCTACTACATCCGGGTGGTGGTCTCCCCGGAAGCTGTGCAGATGGCAGAATGGTGGGTTTCACCTTGTCGGTCGACCCTTGCTGGGGTAATTGTGCATTGCAGCTGGCGGCCAGGTTCTCATTGAAAGTTGGGTTGGGCTAAATCAGTAGCTGGGTGAGAGCCTATGTGGAAAGCCCAGGTGCTGCTGGAAGTAACTTCTCTACTGTCCCAGCATGACACTGCAGGTGCTGTGCTGCAAACTGTGCTGCCTGTGAGTTGAGTTTCGGCTGAGGTCCTGCTTATTGTGCAGTGGCACTTTACACAGGAGTCACCGAATTTGGCCAGGACACCAGTGCTCCTGGTAACTTCAGGTGGTTCCATTCTGCCTCTCTAACTTCCCCCTGCAGTTTCAGTTGGATCTGATGTCCTTCACTTCCTGTCCTAAACAGTCTGTGTAGGGCTGCTCTATGTGCCACCCCCAACGTGGGTAAAGGGATTATATTGGTCTATAATCCTCCTTGGGACTCCGCTGGCTACAAGCTGGTCTGAGGTGTAAGGAGCTGTGTTCATTTTGCTCAGCACAAGGTTTGAAAGTCGCCCCATTCTCCAATTTCATTTTCAAAGGCAGAATTACCATTTTTGTGTGTGGAAAATTTGGGAATCGGCCCTTTAGGAAAAACAATGGAAGGAAAACACTTTTGCCATTTCTGCAATGTTGCCTTTCTACTTATCCGCTAGCTCTAAGCGAAATGTCTGTCTGTCAGTGGAAGAGAAGACATGGGCAGCAAACATCCTGCTGATGTTCTCAGTGTCTCGCTTCCAGAGACAGACATTGTCCCTCATGATCATTTTCCAAGCCAGGGGGCTTCTCCCAGCTTAGAGAACTGGGTGTTTGCGCCAGAAACACTTGGATCCCCAGCCAGCAGAGGAGCTCTGTGAGCGTATGTGGAATTAAGTGAACATTTGAGCCTCCTGTTAGCAGCCTTAGTCCGATATACACTCCTCAGAGTGAGTGGTGCTTCTGAGGCGTGCAGCAGCATCCAGTCGCTAGGCATCGGAGTCGCAAGATTTGAGTTCTGGTTCCAATTCTGTTGCTGTGTCCTGGGGCAGGTCGCTTCCCCTCTGAGCCTTCATCTCCTCATCTGTAAAATGGGGATAAAACTCAAACCAAAGGGGTTTGAGAGCAAGGCAAGAAAAGCTTTATGTAAACACGCAGGATGATTGCTCTTGTGACACTGGGTGTTGCCTGGCTATGTAAGTGCAGCTGTGCGCTGGACATCAGCTAACAGCACTGGGGCAAACCACAGACTAGAGACTGCCCTGTGGCTTAGCCTGAACTCCTCAGTCATGCAGGCAGCAATTGCCGATATAAAGCAGCTCATCCTACTGCAGGATTCTGCCTCGCATCATCAGCCAGTGCCTGCCAGTTCTTTGTCCAGACTCTGCTGCTGCCGCAATGTTTGCAGCGGATGGATCACGGCTCAGTCTCGCTCTCTCCTGGCATGCACCAAGCTGAGCTCTGCAGCAATGACTGTTGGAAAACTCTTGGGAGCAAAGGCTCATGTTCCGAACATGGGTCTGGAACATGAAAATTTTAATCCTGGCTCCACCACTGAGTAGTGCTGTGGCCTCGAGCCAAGTTACTTAACCTGTCTGCCTCCGCTTCCCCATCAAAGGCGGGTACATATTATAATTCCCCATTTTACAGATGGGAAAAGTGCCATGCCTGTTGTCAGTAGTGGAGTCACGAATAGCATGCACGCCGCGCAGCTCTAAGCACCGTGCTGCACTTGGGATCGCTTTGTTTGACAGTCGCCCAACAGGCCGATTTCTAACAGCGCCGCTGAGTTGGAGCAGTGGTTCTAGAGTCCTCTCACAGGCCATCGCCCAACTGCTCATGCACGTTTGAGACCATTTGTCACTCACAAATTTGTTTTGCTGCTCTCTGTTTCCTAGTGTTCAACTGCAGTCCGGGTTCTCCAACATCCTTGGCAGGATTATCATCTTGCAGAAGTACATGGTGTGCTTCCTGGAGGAGACCAAAGCGGTAAGGCTCTGTCTGTCTCAGCGGCCATGGGATCCACCTGCTGAGCAAAGTGATGGGGGTCGTACTCGAGGGTGACCCTGTGCCCTGCTCTCTGGATATTCTAATGCTCTTGGATCCTGCTGAGATGCCTTCTGTTGGACAGGCAGCTGCCCTCACCAAGGGCCCAGAATCAAACGTAAGCTGCGCGTAGCTCCCTTTGTGCAGTTGGAAACCCTTTGGCTCACTTTGTTGTGTGGCTGAGGTGTTCAGCAAATGTTACAACGTTGACAGTTCCCTCCAGGATACCACCTGGAGTGGGGTGCCACTGAGCCCGCCTGACCCACCAGCCTGGGCTCCCTTTATACTGTACTGCTGTGACAAACTCTCAAGACCTCTCCAGCATGCATGCAGGTAGGGATACACCCAACTGCAGCACAACACACACAGGTTCTTTAACCACCCCCTGCATGGGAAGGCAAAGCTAACGCATCTCCCAGTTCCTAAGGAATGCCCTGGGGTGCCAGGGTGTCACAGACCTGATGGCAAAATACTGAGGAGGAGAATGCTTCGGGGAAGGAGGGGATTTTGAGGAGGGGGGAATTGAGCTATCTGGGAAAGGAATAGATTCTGGATCCTCAAAAGAAGGTACATGAGCCTCTCCACACATCCAAGTCTAGTTCCATAGCCTCTGGTTCACCCCATGTTCACAACAGAGACGGATGGTGCACATGTAAACTCATTCTGCTCTAGCAACACATTGAGTGACCCCAGTAGCTGCTGCCTGCCAGGGCCTCCAGCCGTGTTTATGAGGCTTAACCCTTGCTTTGGGCTAGAGAGTGGAGCTGGTGCTTTAAGCCGTGACTATTTTTGCCTAGGAGCACTAGGTGGAGCTCCAGAACTAGCACCTCCAATGCGCCCCTTGCGCGGCAGGTGGATGGTGTGGACCTTCCCAGTATGACCTCTCCTGAAGGGCTGGTGCTCCTTTGCTAGGGAACCAGCTCCTAGCTGTGTGGTCAACAACAGCCTCCGCTCTCTGGGCACGTGGGCAAGCATATTTCATGGCCTGCTGGGCCTCCTCTTCCGTCTTGCTCTGGGCAGGCAGCCAGCCTTGTGAGGCTCACTGGACTGATGGGTGATGTACTGCAGAGAGCTCCTCTCCACCACACCTCTCTTCCCTCCCCCCCCCCCCGTGCCCCCTTCCTGAAGGGTCCCCCACCTTCCCAAGTGAATACAACCCTCCCCAGCTCCCTGTCATAGAACCATAGAGAATCATAGAATATCAGGGTTGGAAGGGACCTCAAGAGGTCCTTCAGCAGCAGGCCCTTCCTTGGGCCTGGCTCGGCAGCACACTGCTGTCACTCTGGCTCTGCCTTTCAGCCAAGGTTCGCCTCACATGGTGCCTCCAGTCCTACACCCCACCCCTCTACCTTATGTGTGGTCAGCGCCTGGGCACTGCAGCCCTGCGTTGCCTCTCCCCAGGCTGCCTCCAGGTCTTCAGGCCCATGCCTGCTCCTGGTCTGGTCTTTGCTGCCCAGAGGTCTTGTTTGCCGAACAGTGGGCCACGCCTGCCATGGGTCCCTCAGGCCTGACGAACGAGTCCCTCACTGGTCCATTCAACATCTCTTATGCAAAACAGCCTCTGCTGACATGTCAGGATGCAAATTAGACCCTCCCATGCCCCAGGGGCGGGCATGGGGACAGTGTGTCCCCAGGGTGTTGTGGATGCACCACCTGGGTTTGGAATATTCTGGAGGGCATGGGATGGAGATGGGAGTGCAGCCCCCAGTTGCTGACTGTTCTGGATGGGAGTAGGGGCTTCCTCAGGTAGAATGTTCTGGGATGCCACCTGGGCACAGAAAGCCCTGGAAAGGGTGAGGGGGGTGGAGGGCATGGCAGTGCAGCATGTCTGATACGGAATGGGCCTTGATGGGGTGTGGAGAGACAGTTGCGGCCTGTCAGCATGTTACATTATGGATGGATGTGGGAAAGAGCCAGTGAGTATCAGAACATTTGGAATGAGGAGACAGCATAGATCATTATGGATGCAGTGGGATGAGGCATGGAACATGTGGGATGGGGTGGTACGTGGGAGACAAGGGGTGGGACATGGAATGTGGGAGATGGGGGCGGGATGGGGCACGTCATGGGATTGGGGAGGCGGGGGGTGGCATGTGGAGGGTTGAGGGGGGCCCTTCGTCTGTTTTACAGGAATATTTTGTGCACTCCAGACCTGAGAGGTGGGGCACCTAGGAGGGGTGAGATCTCTGGAGGGATCTGCGCCCCGGTGTTGCAGGAGCCTGACTCCAAGCTCCCCATTCACACCCAGGCCTTGCTTGAGGGGATGAGAGGCGAGGGGCCAGTGAACCAGAGTAGGGGTAGTGCCAGGCTCTGGAGAACTGCCCCTCAGAAAATGTGGGTTTTGTGAGGGGAGGGAGGATGTGGTGACTGGAGGAAGCAGGGGCTCCCAATCCCATTACACCCTCAGTTCCTTGGCACCTGTGTCACACCACCCATCCCATGGGGCTGACTGTTCTCATTCCTGCTGAGGTGACTGCTCGTCCCCTGCTCATCTGCTTGCAGCCCAATAGCTTTCCCAGAATCCTTTGCAGCTGTTGCCCAAAAGCTTTCTAGGCACTCCTTGGCCTGTCTCCCCTGTGGGGCCCATCCCTTGGCGAGGGGCTAGCCGGGGAGTGCATCGCCTTGCTCCAGCCTGGCTTGCCTGGCCTGAGGCTGGAGCCGGGCGCAGGCCCTGCCCTGGAGAGGGAGACGGTCTGCAGAGGGCTTGGCTGTGCCGGGAGGGGGCAGACCGGGACAGGCAGTGCTCAGAGGTTTGTGACTTGAGCCTGAGCAGCCCAATCCTTTCACATTCCAAAAAACCAGCAGGCCTGTTTGTGGCTGCCCCAGCTAGAGCCGAGGGGAGGGAGGGGGTGCGTGGATGTGTTTGCTTGCAGTATATTATTCAGCCACTAGTGTCGGGTGTGTGTGGTTGGTTGTGGTGCATGTATTCAGACACTAGATGTGTGCATGTGCCTATGTTGTTTAGACACTAGTGTGTGTGTTAGCTTGCAGTATGTTATTCAGTCACTGGGGCGTGTGTCTTTGTGGTACACTATTCAGACACGGGGTGTGTGAAAGAGCTTGCAGTACGTTATTCAGCCACTAGAGGTCTCTGTGCCATCAGGCGCTCCAGCCAGGCAGAGCGCCCTGGCAACCAGGCCGGAGGTGGCAGGGCCTAGGCTGTGGGATGCCCGCCCACCTGCAGCGGTTTCCTTTAATGCCCACTGGGGGCAGGCTGTTATCCCACATAGCCAAGGGGAGCCCCAGAGAGCACTGAGGCGAGAGGGCCTCGTTCCCCTCTCCTGCTCCCTCCAACTCCCCGGCCCCCAACACCTCTCGCACCCCTCATTTGCTGAGGGGCTTGGTGGAGACCCTCCCCTTGCTCACTGGGCCCTCCCCCTCCAGTGCCGTGGGGGGTGCCGATGCCCCCTTGGGGGGGGGCAGGTGGCTTTGCTGTGCGCCCCGCACCTGACCCTGCCTGTCCGTCCCTTCCAGGAGGAGTGCGAGTTCTACCTGTCCGTAAACCAGTTCATCGTGTTGCCCTTGCAGAGGCAGAGGATGGAGGCGCTGAACTGGTAAGTCCCTCTGCGGGTGTGGCGGCTGCTGGCGCGCACGCGCTTCCCCCCTCGCTGAGTTTGCAGCTGGGGATGGGGGCCCCATGGGGATCCCGCACTCTCAAGGCAAAGCCAAGAGATTGCAAACGGTGCATCGACTGGCCCACGTGCTGCATGACTGTGCACAGGGATGATGCCAGAAAGACCCCAGTATCGCACCCTCCAACTTTTAATTTGATCACCCCCACCCCTCACCTCTAGGAGCTTGTGGGGTTAGCAGCAGCCAGATTCTCTTCCCCTCCCCCTCCCCCCACCCGGGAGAAGGAAGCCAGAGGGGTTGTGCCACTCTCTCTGCACTGGGGCGAGAGCTGCGGGGTGCACCAGCCCTCTGCTTTCAGGGGAAGGGGCTAGGCCTCTTGCTTGTGCTGAGGCATCAGGTTGTTCGCAGCACATCCAGCAGCTCCAATTGGCTATCTTCTTCCCCCTGCCTGCAGGAGACAGGGAATGGGGAAGGCCGATAGCTGGGGATTTCCCTGGAGAGCAGGGTTTTTCCCTGCAGTCCTGTCATGGGCAGAAAACCACCCTCTGTGTGGGAACTGCATAGAGTTGGCGGTCTGGGATCCCATCTGACTCTTTACCCCTCTGAGGTCCTGTGGCAGCGTCCCTCACTTAGTCTGCATGCAGCTCACGGCATGGCCATTTCTTGCGAATTTATGGCGGGTCATGGAATTGAGGCCCTGGCTGCAGATGCTGTGAAAAGCTCCACCTATCAGATGCTTTTTGGAAAGCAAAATATATATATGAGACTCGTCCCAGACAGGGCCCTTTGGCCGGATGGAAGATTTGCTAAACTGCATGCCCAGACTCCTAGCTCTTCCTGGGATGATATTTTTGTGCCTTTGCTATGGTCTTGGAAGGAGTCACTATCATTCACCATTTTCACAGATCGGTACGTGCTTGCACAAGATCCCTAGGCAGAGCGGGGCATAGAACCCAGGTCTCTAACAGAGCAGAGCTAAGTCTTGAGCACTTTGCCACACAACCTTCCATAGGAACTTCTCCAGTGAGGTGCCTCTGTGACCCACACTAGCACAGTACAGGGCTGAGTCACCCTTTAGCAACTAGACCAGGTGCAGAGGTTTGAGTCGTCTACTACTTCCATGCTAAGAGATCTGGTCCTTCAGCTCAAGTGAGTGAGCCTCTTATTTTTACATCCAGCGGTCCCAGGTCCAGTCCTCGCAGAGCACCTGAGCAGTGGCGCTGGGCTGGGCTCTCACCACAATCTGCTCTGAGGCTGGGAACAGAAACTTAGAATCCTGGGGCCAGGTCCTCAAAGTGTTTTAGGCACCGAGCATCCATTTATTTCAATGGGAATTAGGCACCTAAATACCTTTTGGGGATCTCGGCCCTAATGCCCAGTATCCCCTTGAAGTCCCTCAAATACTTGGAGTCAGAGTTGGGTTGAGGTTTCTTTTAACTTCCTCTGCAGCATGAGAAGTGGGGATCATCTGGTCATATCTCACTTAATCAATCCCCTGCCATTGCCGGGGCCTCAGATATTGATGCACCTGGGTCCCTCCTGTTCTCTGCTTGTGGCCCCCAGTAGTTTAATCTCCTGAGGACTGTAATACCTTGGTGTAATTATGGTTGTTGGATTTACTAGGCAAGTGGCTGGGTGTGTTGATGGCCTATGATAGAGAGGAGATGGGACTAGAAGATGGTCCCCTCTGGCTTTGAACTCCAGAACACTACGATTTGTGTACCCCGCTAGCCATATGTGATGAGCCAGTCCATAGCTTGTTAGCTCTTCAGGGCAGGGACAGTCTCTTACTCTGTGGCTGTACAGTGCGTAGCCCAACAGGGCTCTGATCTCGGTTGGGTTCTCTATTGTGAGCTCCTGCTCAAGAGGCTAAAATCACCTCGTTCGCTATTTGGGCGAGTTGGGAGTACAGTGGCACGCTCACACACAGTGGGGTACAGGGGAGGGCAGAATTCAGAAGACCGACCAAAAATCACAATTGAATCTTAAAACTCATGATTTTGGGGCCAATTTTATAAAATCATGGGCTGGAAGGGACTTCAAAGGGGTCACCTAAGCCAGCCCCCTGCGCTGAGGCAGGACCAAGCAAACCTAGACCAGCCCTGACAGGGGTTTGTCCAACCTGTTCTTAAACCTCCAGTGACAGGGACTGTACAACCTCCCTTGGGCATATTGCAGAACTTAACTACCCTGAGAGCTGGATAGTTTTTCTAATATCTAACCTACATCTCCCTGGCTGCAGATTAAGCCCATCACTGCAGTGGGCATGGAGAGCAATTGATCATCATGCTCTTTATAACACTCCTTAACATCATGAAGACTGTAATGAGGGCCCCACTCAGTCTTTTCTCCAGGCTAAACAGGCCCAATTGTTTTAACCTTTCCTTGCAGGTCAGGTGTTCTAACCCTTTTTGGGGTGTCTGACTCAGGTTTTTGAACTTGCGGGGCTGGCCATTCTGCGCTCCCTGGCCCAGCTGCTTGGGCACTGCAGGGGTTGAAGACATGTAGTCAGTCATTGGGGCTTTCACTAGACCCCTGTGTGATGGTTCTCTAAACCCCTTATATGCCCCGGATCCCTGTTTTTCCATGGAGGCTCTCTGTAGCTCTAAACTGCCGTTCTCCCCCTGGCTTTAATCACATCACCCTTGGAGGCTGTCTTTGCGACACTCCCACGTGTTCTAGCTCATCTGCTCTTTCGGGGAGGCGATGAGGGAAGGGGGAGATGAAGGCTTCAAGGAAAACGTGCTGCATACTACAGCGAGGGCAGCGCCTTGTCTGGGCGTGGGGGGTAGGCTGCTGCACCAGTAACCAAGACTCTTTGTTGTTCCAGTAATCAGGAGCCCTCAATCCTCCAGAAGATAAAGGAACTATGGCAGTGAGTACATGACCCAGTTATGGCACCATTTTCCTGACTTGCCAAGATCTGTGCTAGGTCAGGGCATGGGTAGTGCTGACTAGCGAAAGGAGGTGCATGTTTACGCAGTGTGCGGGACTCCTGTGTCACAGGCTGTGATTGAGCTTAGCAGGAGTCATCAAAAAAGCTGGTTTTCATGGCTGAGCGTGTTCATGTTGGGATGAAATGTGAGGGTGTTAGCCCTTGTGCTTCAGGGCGTGAGGAAACTTCCCCTACTGGCCACGTATTCCTCCTGAGCGAGCAATGGCTCGGAGGGGTAGAGGGACCGTTGCCTTGCTTGTGAATGGCTCCCTTAGTGTGCAGGGGAAGGCGGCTCCTGCTCCGCTGAGACAATGCCTTACAATTTCCACGGCTCACCTCCTGTTTGGGGTGGCTGCTGAAGAGCAGCACGCTTCCCTGCGTATCGCCTGCAGAGGCTGAAACAGTAGGGTTAGCTCCCCCGTGTCTCAGTGCAAGCATTGCACACGGAAGTGCAGGGCTAGCGTATTCCCGGAAAGGCCCATCTCCTCAAAGAAGTGCAGTGCTTTGCCTGCAGCAAGGTCGACTTACGCAAATCCGCACTTACGGGAAAAGTTCTGTAAGCCTTTTTTGCATAATTGTCAGGTATATGTTCCCGACTTATGGAACGCTTGCGTAAGTCAGGGAGCGTCTGTATAGTGAGCTGCCGGAGTGAAAATTGCTCAGGTATCAGAGAGAGAGGCCAAGGGATGGCTCTGATTCCCACAGGCGCTCAGTCTTGGGGCACTCCCCCGGCTCTGGTTTCCTTGTTGGGCTGGGGGGCATTGCATGACCTTTGTAAGGTTTTCTGTTGGGTTCTGGGCAGGGAAGCTGTCTGGAGCCTGACCCTGGGATCTGTGTTGTTTGACTATTGCAGGAGAGGCCTCACCTTGAAGACTGTTTCCTCCTCAGGTACAGTGGGAACAGTGACGGGAGAGGCGGGGGGTAGTAGGTGTTGCTGACCTGTGTGAAATGAGCTGGTGGATCTCAGTTCTCAGTCCACCTTACACAGACCTCTGCCACGATGGCACTAACTGCCTGCCTCGTCGGCCGTCCCAGCAAGGAGTTGGATGTGGTTTGAAGACTGACCTGCGCTCTGGAGCTGTCTGCTCTGGGCAGGGCTGAGGCGCACTGGCGGAACAGCATGAGCCGTGCATCCTGACACTGCCAGGGCTCTCAGTGGATAAACAGGACTGAGAGCTTTGGGGCTGTCAGTGCAGCTACTAAACCCACTGACAATACAGAGCCCTGATCTGTGCTGCAGTCAGAGAACCACTCTGGAGCAAAGGGCTGTAAACCCAGCAAGGCCAGCAGGAGGCCCTAAGCACAGGGGGTTCGGCCTGAGGATTTGTTTGCCACGTTTGGCCACGCTCCACTGGTACGCAATGGAAGTGTGTTTTCCCTGAGGCCAGCCTGCTCTGCCCTGCCTTCCCTCTGGCCCTGGGTGGCTCCCTGTGGAACTCTCAGCAGCACAAAATGGTCTTAAGCGCTTGGTTAATAGAGTCCAGATTCATATTAATTCTCTCTCTCCCCCACCCAGAAGTGACGTCCGTGCTGGTGAAAGGGGCCTGATCGACAGCCCTGGCACTGGGCACCCTGTGTGCCTTCATAGAGCATGGGCAGTGCCCCCTTCTGCCTCGTTCCTACACCGGAGTGCCAAGTCACTGCACTGGGTATAACTGTGCTCCCACTGGGCAGCCTCTGACTCGTCTGCATTCGAATGAATCAGCCCCTTGCCTCTCTGCAACAGGCAGCAAGGGGGCCAGCAGGAGGCTGTGGTGTGCTGTGGGCGCCGGTCCGTCAGGAACTGCACTGAGACACCCCCATCCTGGCTCTTAGCAACCCCTGCTGTTCCAGTCCTGGGTCTTCCTGGAACCAAAACTAACTCACAGCTGAGGGCTCGGAGCAGACGCCATTCAAACTCCTCTTGCCTTCCCCAGTGCCTTTGGGTTGCCCCCTTCTGCCCCAGTGGTGGTGGCGTTTCGTGCTAAGTAATTCTTGAGCAGTACATCCTTTGCAAAGTGCTTTGGCGATCCTGTGTGATGGAAGGTGCTGTGGGAATGTAAGACAAGGTTGTTGCTGTGAACAGAAAGGAAGTATTGAAAGCTGTTGGTACAAAATAGCTTCTCCAGGCTCTCTGTGTGTGCCACAGCTAGGCTCTGGGCTTGTGGCCTCAAGGGGATCTCAGTGGCCTGTTGACGTGGGCGCGTCTGTCCCCATCTAGGGATGTCGGTGTCTCAGTTACTGTTCGACATAGGGCAGAGACGGCTCAAGGTTTTGAAGCAGAATGTTGAGGATTGCTTGGATTTACTGGACCCAAGTGAGGTGCCAGCCATAGGGGAGAGGCTCCCTGTCACCAACTGGGAGGTGGAGCGCAAGAGAGAGGTCAGTGCTGGCTGCCAGCCTGTCCTGGCTGTGCATGTGTCCGACGATTTGGTATGGGGCCAGGTGGGGCTGAGGGGCGACGGTGGGGCTCTTCTCACAGAAGAAAGAGGTAAATCCTTCGACCTTGGGAGGGAAGGACACAGTGCGGGAGGGGTTTCGAGTTGGAGGGAGCGAGGGTGGCTCTTGCTGTGGCATTTCTTGGGGGAGTGCTGCACTGGGTCGGGCTCCCAGAGCTCACGCTGGATGCTCAGACCTAAGAGCTAAATCAGCTCTTCCGGGCTCTCTCTCCTGGTCTGGGGAAGAGCTGCTGGTCTTCCCAGTGATGCTGGGAGCCCCAGGGATGGGTCAGTGTGCCGGGCTGCCTGGACTCTCTCTCTTTTGTCTGTGATGTAGAAGCTGGCTAACAATTCTCATTTCAGCTGAGTAAAGACGTCTTTACAGTGCCAGCCAACTTCCTGGTGATTGGCCCGGAGGAGAAGGCGGCGATTCGTGATGCCTGCCTGGCAGGTCAGTGCCACAGCTGTACCTACAGTCTGCAAAGCCTGGCCATGTCTGGGCTGGGGCTCTACCCCAGTGCCTTGCAGACCTGATTTTGAGAGCTGCAGGCTCTCAGTCAGAGGTCCCTTTGGGTTAGCTGGCTGTGGCTCTCCAGGAGCGTGCCCAGGTCTCAGTGAAGCACTCTCTGCCTGACGCGCTCTCCGCCCCCATCTCTCACAAGCTTCCTGCACCATCCGGGTCTGCCTCTCCAGGGTGGCTCTGGAATGGGGGAAGGGCTCCTGAGCCGCATGGTTCAGTCAGGCCCTGCCTGCGGGGCTGCGCTCTCCGGGGATGTTGATCCACGTGGCGTGGGACGGCAACTGACATTCCAGTCCCCGGCCTGGCCCTTCACAGATGCAGCTAGAATGAGATGCTGCCTCTAGCCAGGGAATTTGCGAATGCTGTGATCTTCCCCAGTGGAGACCGGGGGGGCCGCAGTGGAGCTCTGCCCTGACGGGTACATGTGGTTCTGAGGGGGGGCTTTAGGGATCTCTCAGGGAACAAGCTGAATCAGTGAGAGGCATCCAGAGGGTGACGGCAACCCCCCTATTCCTGCAGGAGCTCCTCACACTGTTCCTGGGAGAAGCCGCCTTGACAGGGACCTGGATGACTGTAGTGTAGTGTCATGCCCCAGTGGTGAGTAGTAGAGCCTGAGCCAGTGGCCTGGATCCTGCAGCAGCTGCCTGCTCTATTCTGGATTTCTTTTGGGGTTTGCCCATCCCAGTTTTCTCTCCACTGGAGGATGGGGTCCATGGAGGGGCTATTGCAATATCCCACTAGTCTTCCAGGCCCTTGTCCTTCTCTGAAACGTAAACTCTGGTATGGAGCATGTGGGGGGAGTTTTGGTCGGCCGCTAACAAAGCGGGGCTGTTTGCCCCCAGTCACAGATTGTCCATGTTAGAGGTAACAGTCAATGCACCAGCTGTCTTGAAAAACAATTGTTTAAGCTGCATGTGGAATAAAATAAGTGGCAGCGATGCCTCTTGCCACCCCCGGCCGGCCAAGGAGCTGTAGCTTCCTCTCCCACATGCAGTCATCACCCAGGCTTCTGCCACCGCTTGGCTAGGTTGCTGCTGTTCGCTCTGCAGTGGGCCAGCTCATGGCACGCAGAAGTGTGCAGCAGGCGAATGTCTGGCTGCGAGGTCTCATTCTCTGAGTGCCGTTCAGGGTGCTGGCAATTAGCCTGGCCTGGCCCTCCGTCCCCTAAGGGACCAGCCCTCCCTCTCATCAGCTGGGAGGCGCTTGCTCTTGGTTCTTTTGGGGGGAGCCGGGGACCTCTGACCTGAGGGTCCCCATCCCGTGGCATTTTGAGCCTAGTTTTCTGTCGATGCAGTGTAAGGTTGTGTTAGTGGGCCAGAGGCTTTGTCAGATGTTAAACATCTCTGACCTAAGGACAGCGGTTCTGCACCAGTCGTTGCCAGGGGTATCTGTCATTTTGCCCAGGCGAGTTCTTTGCTGCGCATGCACCGACAAGAGGTGTGGCTTTGTAAAAACACACAGAACCCCCCCCCAGGGAATTCTTACCCCCAAGCGGCAGGAAATCAGCACTCAGGCTGTGGCTTAAGCCTGCCAGGGCAGGAAGATCAGTGCTAACCAGCCACTCCAGTTGACAGGCATTGTCTCTGTGCATCCCCCTCGTGGGGCATGTGTGCTTGGCGCAGCCATGCTTTGCAACCCATAGCAGTGTCTCATCTGCTGTCTCTTTGGCTGTTTACAGCTAGCTAGTCCATCCTCTTTTCTCTTAGAACCAAAGAAGACAGAAAGGGGTGGGATGAGTAGGAGAGTTGTCTCCCTGCTGATGGGGCGGACCCAGTCGACTAGGTCTGGTACAGTGTGTACAGCGTCTAGCACGCCGGGCCCTGATCTGTGACTGGGGCCGTTGGGCGCTACTACAGCATAAATAGCGGAGAGTCACACGCTTCATTGCTTCTGTAGGCGATCTGTAACCTAGCTGGGCCCCTCGCCTGCACGGCAGCTTGAGTTGAGTATAAGTCCTTGCTTTACTCAGCTGATAACGTGCCCAAAATCAGCCACTGTGGGGATCGGCTCACCAGAGTGGCTCTGGCCAACTTAATCAGCGTCCACGTCCCTGGTTTGATGGATCACAGCGGAGTGGCCCCATGGGCGCTGACGTCTAGTGGATGCTGAGCTCACCCGCCCAAAGCGATGCTTAGCCCCCCCAAGCAGGAGTGTGTCCTCACAAAAGCTCAGCTCAGCGGGACACCGTGCAGAGAACTGCTGTCCTGCTCATGGTGGGGATTGTGACTATGGGAACACGAGGAGACAGAAGGGATTTGTAGCATGTGTGGGTGTGTTACTGTTCCTTGCTGGGGCCTTTAGCCTGGCCTACAGTGCTCCGATCTGTAGGGCTACAGTCTAATTTCATTCTCGCTTTTGGCAGACCCTGACGCAATGTCCCAAAGTTTGGACGTATCCCTGGATAATCCCTGGGACAAGCTTCAGTCAGTGTCCGTGACTCTGTCCTCCTCCTTGGAAGGTGAGTGCACACACTGCCTTCCAGCATCTCCTGTTGCAAGTGGAGAGCATCTTTCCTTCTCTCTGTGTCTGCACACCCTACATCTTACACCTGGAGAACGGTGTGCTCACCTGCACACACACATGCAACTTGTAAGCCTTGTTACCACCATCACACTTGAAATTGCACACTCACTTTTGCACATGCAGTTCTTAAAACGTGGCCCATGCTGTGTGCGCGTGCAGGGGATGGGGATGGTTTTCAGGAAGGTGCAGTCTGGATCTCTTTGATACATTCAGGTGCCTGTTTGTGTGTGTGATTGTGTTTGCCAGTCCACCCATCTGCATGCACCAAGGGTGATAGACCTTATCTCCCCCATAAATGGCTGATTTGCCCTTGCACGGTATTGGTGGTGACTGTATCATGGTCATGCCTAGGGACCACCGGCGATCACCCCCTTGTGCTAGGTGCTGTACAGACACAGTAATAGGCAGACAAAGGCTGGGGGATGGAGGATAACAGGCAGCGTAAACAATGAGATCAGCGACAGACGCTGTAGTAGTGCCACCATTTGGGTTTGTTTTTAATGTTCTGGGAGGGGCTGTGTTGGGACGAGATCAGCTAAACAAAGGGAGAGGGGACCTGGAGAGGGTCGGAGGGGGCGGGGCGGGGCAGCCTGTACAGCAGTCAGAGACTCTGGGGGAGGGTATTGACGCAAACAGCCAGTCAGCACAGAGGAGAGAATGCCCAGTAGAACCTGGATAAGACACTTGGAGGACGCCTCCGGTAGCCAAGGGTTGCTATGGCAGAACCTTCTCCTGCCAGCTTTGCTATCTTTTGGCCCCTCTGGATAGTTCCTCTTTGGAACTGTCCTTCGCCAGCTGCCTTCCCAGCTCCAGGCAGGTGGGACAGTCTCTGCCCGTGCTGCTGTCTCCTGCCTTCTTCCATGGGGAAAGTTGTGTTTTGTTCTCTTTTGTCAGAGAAGTCCATTATCCAGCCCAGCCTACCAAGCACAGAAGAGGCCCAGCTACCCAACTCCACAGAGGAGGCGGCCATCACGCAGCCTGACAGCAACACCCCAGATTTCTTGGAGCCTTCCAGCCAGCAGTCCCCTTGTAGCTTATCCCAGAATGAACCAGTGGAGACTGTATCCCCATCACTGCTGTCCTACAGCAGTACATGTCCCCCAGAGGCTGCCACGTTCCAGAGGCCACCTGATGTGGATAAACACCCTGATGCCAGCCATGACGTCCCCTGCAGCCAGCCATCTGGAGTTTTCCAAACCAATCTGTGCCCTTTCTCTCCTGCTCTTCCCATTTTGGGCAGCATCAACAGCAGAGCAGCACCCCCTGCAAATGGAGGGCAGGCTGATCTTGGTGGCGCGGCTTCCGTCCCAGATGTGGAGAACAGTGGTCTGACAAGCTCTGAATGGGACACTCAGCTGGGGAGTGGAGCTGGGGGAAAAGATCTGTCCAGGAGCAGGCAGCACAGGGTGACTAAGAGAAAGCTGCTGGTGGATGACCATAAGGCCCACGGCGAGGTTTTGCCCAGTCCAGGCAAAACCCATCAGAGAGCACAGAGGAAACCTCCCCATGCGGCTGTGCCCATGGGGGACGAGCACTGCGTGGGCGCGAACGTAGTGGGCCAGAACCCAGGTATGGAGTTGGTGAGTGCTCAGAGAGCCAAGAAGAGCAGGCTGGAGCAGGCCGGGCCAGCTCAGGAGCCTACACTGCCCGGGGACCTGGAGGGGCTGCCAGGAAGGGGGAATGAGAGAGCAGCAGTCAGGAGCGCGGCTGCGTCCGGGCCAGGCCAGCACAGAGCCCAGGAACAGGTAAAGGTCCGCAGGCTCATTGTCATTTCTTAGTTTTGTCTTAGTGTCCCACAATCTCCCGTCTCCGGGCCCCAAAGCCCTGCCTTGTAGCCACCAGCCTTCCAGCTGAGAGGAAAAGGGAAGGGCTCCCTCTGAAGGCTGGGCCTGAGCTTTCCCCCCTGCAGCAGTCCTTCTCCAGAAGCAAGGGGTCTGCATGCCAGCCCACGTCTGCCAGGGGACTGCCCTCTGCCAGGCACTTCCCAATAGCAGCCATTGCTCCTGTGCCAGACGGGAGACAGCCATGTCCATGGTGGGAAGAGCCTGTTGTGACCATGTGGCTGGGGAAGGGGGAGGCTGAAGCCACATGCAGCAGGAGTTGGAGGAGCCAGTCAGAGCGGAGGGGTGAGAGTACAGAGAACACATGCCAGCACTTGCTACAAGCCATCTCCTGGGCTCCCAGATAGGGACTGGGTCCTAAACAACCAGGGAAATCCTCCAGCTCTCTAAGTAACTAACCCAATAACATGTGTGAGAGAGACCCTGCCATGCTGCGCTTGCTGAATTAGGCTCAATCTTACAGCACAAGACCCCCTCCTTGGAAGGGATCGGTCATTGTTTCAGAGGACCTCTCCTTAAGGTTGGCTTCTGTTTTGGGAGGCTTCCACTCCAGGGCTACGCCAAGCCCTCAGGGTAACTCAGATTTCCAAGAGAATCCCCCACTCCTGCCTGCTGGCTTGCCAAGAGCTCTTGTCCTTCCCCTGGAGACATCTAGTGCCGTGGTTCCACAGGGTAAATGTGCATGAAACCAGCTTCTCTGAGCCAGGAGAGCTGGTGGGGGAGAAAGCTATGTCCGGAGCGCTGCATGGGCTGGGGATGTCTTTCAGCTGTGATGTTTAATATAGATTGAGCTGAATTGTCTTCCTTCCCTCCAGAAGTATGTGAAAACAACCCCATTTCAATACGCCTACACGGCACCAACGCCAGATCTCTGTGCCCGAGTGAACTCCACCAGGTCAGTGCGGTGTGTGGGTCTCCCAGACGGGGCACACCCCAGCTAAGTGGGCTTCTCAAATACCCTTTGCACCTCACTTAAAATAAGAGCAAAAATCAACTCACCCCATAAGCTGCTCTGCGCCCTGTCCAAAGCAGCCGGCATGGCTCCAGAGACCCTACTGCCGGTACAGCTGGAGGAGAGAGCTGCGCCCGTCCCCCTTAGATTTCACTCCCGTCTGCCAGCTCCCTCTGATAACAGCTTGGGCCACAGTGCTGCTGTCAGGGAGCTGCATTTGCGTAGCCCCTACAAACACAACCTGTGGGTCTCCGGCCATCCAGTGACTGACGCTGTTGTGGGCTGGGTCCCCACTGCTTCACTAGGCTCTCAAACCAAGCCAGTGAGGCTCACCCTGTAATACAGAGATTGACTCATGGCCCCCTCCCGCCTCAGTTGCAGTTCTCAAACGTGTGGGTGGTAAGTAGGGCAGTGCTGCCTGTGGGGGCGTAGAACCGGAGCTCTAACCCGTGTTGCCTTGCTGAGAAAGCTAATCACACTTGATTTGGCTCTTCATTACACAGCTTCATTCCTCCCACCTGCAGTGTTCCCCTGCCCACCGGTCTCTTCCACCCTGGACAGACTGTCGGTCCCCTCGCTGCCGGCTGGCAGTCCCAGCTCTAGGAAAGGCAGCCAGGCTGACTCCTGGTTTGAGCTGCTCTTACAGTCCTTGGCAATGAGTGCTTGGACCCTTGTCAAAGCAGCAGCACATGACCAGCCACTTTGGGGACCACCAGTCACTGCTGTGTGGAGCACAGCTGCTCTGGGGGTCTCGCTCAGGGGCTCCCTCGGCAGAATACATCATCGTTCTGGATGGCAGCCGAGCCCTGCAGCAGCTAGGCACTGCACTTGCAGAGCGACCGTCCCATTCTCACTTGCGCTTATGTTTTGGTTCACAGGATCTCGAAGGCGATGCTGCGCTGGGCCTGCTGGGTGATCACCAAAGCTGAGCAGCCCTGAGCGAAGGCCCTGGTGGAGTTCCAATGTGCTGTACCTAGGTTCTCCTGTTCTTGTTCACGGCTTACCCGAAGGGACGAGCATGGAAGGGTGTGACTCGATAGCCATGCAGAGTAGGCCCTCTGGGGCCAAAAGGAAGGTCCGCTGGCACTCAAGTTACCCAAAAGGCCTCCCAGTCCCAACGACTCCTGCCCAGCTTCTTGGAATAGGTCCTGTACCATATGCTGGGAGTCCCCGGCCACAGTGGGGGCAGCCGAAGGGCTGTGGCTGCTGCATGGAAGCAGCATGCATGAACCTTCGCTGGTACGGTGTGCCAGGGACTGAATCTCATGCTTGGCTGTGAGGGGCAACGGGGTTTTATCCTGTGCTCCACAGAGAAGGGCTGGTGGAGGGAACGTCGGGTAGACAAGTCATCTTGGCAGCTGGATACCTTGCTGTGGGATATTCTGCTCTCCCTCCTCCCTACAATCACCTCTTCAGCACGTTAAACCCCAGCTGGAAAGCAATGCTCTTCAGCACTCTGCCTGTCGCGCACACCAGCCCGGTCTGTTATTTGTCAAGGAATGCAATGAGCTGGGATAGGAGCAGGCATCTACCACAGAGCACCTGTGAGCAAGGGGCTTGCTACATCTCCTTACAACCTGCAGCATCCCTTAACTGGGCTAATGCCCCAGCCCTAGGCTCCAGGCAGAGGAGGTCCATGATGTAGCAGAGGTTAGGAAAGCGCTGTGGTAGTGTTCCTTATCCGCAGCAGCACACCCCTCTACCAATTGCGACTCTGGAGTCAATGCAGTAGTTTGGTCTTTTAATGCTTAGTTTGATTAGATTCCTGCTCAGTTTGTTACAAAATATTTCACATGGTTTATGCTTTGGAAATGAAAAATAAAGTGTCTATTTTTAAATACGTGGCTCTGATAGAATATCCTCATCCCCCCCCCACAAACGTGAGGTGCAGCAAGGGGCATGCTGCAGAGCTGGAGGGGGAAGCAAAGGGACCTCTGTTCAGAATACAAATACGGTGCCCTTCACTCTGCTTTATCCTGGGGGAGGCTGTGGGCCTGGCTGAGCTAAGGTCAGGTATTGTCTGTTGGAGGAGTGGGGGGAAATAGCAGGGCTAAGGGAAGTTTTGTTACCTTAGGATAGTGGTTCCCAAACTGGGGGAGGGGGAGGTGTGGAGGAACGTTTGGGGGGCGGGGGGATGCAGAGAGGGAATGCCCCACCCCTAGCTGTAGCTCTGGTCTCAACCCCGGCTCCCAGCCCGGCTGCAGCGCTGGACCTGGCAGCAGCCCTGATTGCCAGCCCCAAGCCCACCCCCAGCTCTGACCGTGGCTCTGGGGACCACACGGACGGGGGGGACTGATGTAAAAAGTTTGGGGACCACTGCCTTCGGCTGTGAGCCTGGGGACAGAATCACTTGTATTTTTGACTGCAGAATTTTGCTCCAGACTCTATTTCAATTAAAATTAAATAAATTCTAGCCCTTGTGCTGGTGACAAAAACCTCAACCAAGACCCAAATGTGGCTGACCTGTAAAGGCTGCAGCCAGCCAGAACCAAGAGCACGACAGGTCTGAACAGCTCCATTCTCCACAGCAGCTTGATGACATCAAAGCCTCCCACCAGCTTCAATTGAACTATTTCCCAGCAGCTCATCTTAGCAAACACCGAGTTCCTGTGCATATCAACCCCCATCCCCACGCCTTGTCCTGCTGCTGGCTTCAGAGCAGTTGCTCCGTTTCAGTGCCCAGTTCTGCAGCACACTGAAATGATGGGGCAGCCTGAAATAAATGCACCGGCAGGAGAAACACCACAGGGAGCTGCACTGCTTCGATTAGTCATGTTCACATTTTAATCAAACCCTCCAGATTTGTTTTTTCAACTGACTGAGCGGTGCCATGGAATTTCCAGCCTGCCACGGTGGGGCAGCGCAGAACGCAGAGCCAGCGTGCACAGAGCACATGGGGCTGTGCCTTCAGCCCAAACTCCCGTTGCTGGCAGTGGAGGATCTGCTTGAGTAAGAACGGCAGGATCGTGCAGACAGGTTAAACCAAGCCGACGGCATGCACCCAGGCTAATGGTTGGAAGGGAACGACCCGTTCTGGCCCCCGGAAGAGGCAGATTGTTCTGTACTGAGTGGGTTTGGATGAGAGTGCCACACCCTGCCTGAAAACCATCTAATTCAGCATTGTGCAGCGCTGTTGATCCGGGGCCGTACAATGCAAGGCAAGTCCCCATGTATGGCAAACGCACACAAGCCACTGGCCCATGCCTGCTATTGCTGCATACTTAATAGCTGTGCATGCATCCAAAGAGCCAGATGCTGCAGGAAAAGCTTAGGCTGGTGGCAAACTCAGCTACTGGCTTCTGGCATCTCGGTTTTAGCCAGCTGGAGCTTGTGTAAAGCCAGCTGTGCGCAGTGAGACTAGCAGAGGGTAGTGGGAGCTGGAAGGGGGGGGTCCTCCCGTAGATCGTTCAGGAAGCGTTAGCCTCCCAGTGGGGCCAGGCTCCGGTCTGTCCCCGTTTCCATAGGAAGCACTGATGTTCTACACCTGGGAGCAGCGACGGGAGGGGGAGCAAGCCTGGGGGCCTCCTCCCCCATCTCCCCACTGCTTGCACCATGGTGCCCTACGCTGCACAGGTGCTTGAGCTTCTGTTGCAAATCATAACCCTTCAGCTTGCACTTGGTCGCAGTGTTTTATTGGAAATGACAGCGGGCCGCAGTCCTCACTAACTCATTGTCCCTGGGGGGCTGCTGGCAGGCCTGGAGCTGCTGCTCTTTGGTGTATGGCTGTTCTGTGCATTTTCAACCGGTTGTTCCACGGCTTGCGGTTGCTCCCCCTGCAGTTCGGCTGTGGCCCTGTGTTCGTCCTGTGGCAGAGTGTCTGGGGAAGGGGCCACAAACACGGCATTAGCGAGGGTCACAACAGCATTACTAAAGGAGCCTCCGTAGGGCAACAAAGGGAGCCGCAGCTCAGTAAGAGGGAAGGGGCCTGACTGGCTGCTTTAGTCTCTGTGCACCTGTCCCCGTAGGGCCAGATTCTCCCCCCTTACACCAGTGTAACTGCACTGGCCTCAGGGTGGCCACTCCCACCTTACATTAGTAGGGGTGAGAGCAGGATCGGGCCCAGTGCAGCGCGCAGGTGTAGGGAAGAGGCGTGGCTGGGCCTGGGGGGAGGCCATGCCGAAGGGGAAAGGGCTCTGAGTTGGTGCAGGTGCCATGCCCTGTGCACAGGCTGTAGGGTTAGCTCATCCTTACCCTGCAATGCTGCCGGGGCACTGGGCGTGCTGCTCCCCGCCACATCCACCATGGAGCTGGGCTTAGGTTTCCGTTTCAGGACTGGCGAGCGCTGCAGACGCAGGGGGATTTTTACACCTGAAGGAAACGCAAGCAGTGTAACGTTACCAGCTTGGGGGGGTGAGGGTGGCACTGGTGGGGAACAGGGCCTGTGCAGGAGCCTGGGCCACCTCTATTTGAAGTCGGCTCTGGCCCCTTTCTTCTTGGAGGGGGTGTGCGCGTGTAACCCATGTGCCTAATAGGGAGATATCTCTTTAAGATAGGGAGGAAGTAGGAGTGTGCTGTCTCTGGGTCATTGTTGCTAGGCAGATTAAGCACTCCAGATCGAGAAGCTTCTGGAATTGGGTGTAGTAGATTTGGGTCTGCTCGCATAGGTTCCCTGTTGCTGGGGTCAGACTCACTGAGGGCAGCAGTCAGGGCAGGTGCTTGGCAGAAGGCCACGTGCCCTGGGTGAATCGGGAGAAGCTGAGGCCAGGGGGAGGAAGCAGGCTGCTGTCCCGAACTCTGAAGCAGGGGTTCTCAAACTGGGGGTCGGGACCCCTCGGGATTGTGAGGTTATTACTGGGGGGTCGCGAGCTGTCAGCCTCCACCCCAAACCCCGCTTTGCCTCCAGCATTTATAATGGTGTTAAAAGTGTTTTTAATTTATAAGGGGGGGGTCGCGCTCTTAGGCTGCTATGGGAAAGGGGTCACCAGGACAAAAGTTTGAGAACCGCTGCTCTGAAGCATTTTGCAGCAGATTAGTGATATTGGGAACCCTCTAACAGGGAAGCCTGGGCAATGCTAATTATAGCCCAGGGAAACTGGGAGGGAAAAATCACTTCTGTTTTAATTTGTACGCTTTGAATATTGTTTTGATTTTAGCCAAATTGTTCTAGTTCCATTATCTCAACTGTTCTTTAAATGTGCTAATGGGGAAAGAGTCATTTCTATTTTGCTATTCTCGGTTTTGTATTTTCTTGTAACAGGGTTTTCTTTAACTCTATACAGGTAACTGAGTGGCTGGTTAATCCATCAGCTGAGTGGCTAGCAGGGAGTTCAGCAGAGGAAGAGTCTGCCTGGATTCCAGCAGACGATCCCTACGGGCAAGTGGAGGGAAGATGTTGTTTAGACTCAGCAGACTGTCTCGATTTGGTGATCAAAGACCCTAACTGAGACTTAAGTGAACAACACCCAAGGTTTGGGGAACTTTCACTGTGTTTCTGGGGGGACTGAACTGTTCAGATTTTCATTTGTTTTCCTTATTGATGTTTATGTATAACTGTGAAGGTAATAAGCAACAAAGAGTCCTGTGGCACCTTATAGACTAACAGATGTATTGGAGCATAAACTTTCGTGGGTGAATACCCACTTCATGAGACGCATGTAATGGAAATTTCCAGAGGCAGGTATAAATATGCAGGCAAGAATCAGGCTGGAGATAACGAGGTTAGCTCAATCAGGGAGGATGAGGCCCTCTTCTAGCAGTTGAGGTGTGAACACCAAGGGAGGAGAAACTGCTTCTGTAGTTGGCTAACCATTCACAGTCTTTGTTTAATCCTGAGCTGATGGTGTCAAATTTGCAAATGAACTGAAGCTCAGCAGTTTCTCTTTGGAGTCTGGTCCTGTAAGTTTTTTTGCTGTAAGATGGCTACCTTTACATCTGCTATTGTGTGGCCAGGGAGGTTGAAGTGTTCTCCTCAGGTTTTTGTATATTGCCATTCCTGATATCTGACTTGAGTCCATTTATCCTTTTACGTAGGGACTGTCCAGTTTGGCCAATGTACATAGCAGAGGGGCATTGCTGGCACATGATGGTGTATGTTACATTGGTGGACGTGCAGGTGAATGAACCGCTGATGCTGTAGCTGATCTGGTTAGGTCCAGTGATGGTGTCGCTGGTGTAGATATGTGGGCAGAGTTGGCATCGAGGTTTGTTGCATGGATTGGTTCCAGAGTTAGAGTTGTTATGGTGCGGTGTGTGGTTACTGGTGAGAATATGCTTAAGGTTGGCAGGTTGTCTGTGGGCAAGGACTGGCCTGCCTCCCAAGGTCTGTGAAAGCAAGGGATCATTGTCCAGGATGGGTTGAGGATCACTGATGATGCGTTGGAGAGGTTTAAGCTGAGGACTGTAGGTGATGGCCAGTGGAGTTCTGTTGGTTTCTTTCTTGGGCTTGTCTTGTAGCAGAAGGCTTCTGGGTACACGTCTGGCTCTGTTGATTTGTTTCCTTATTTCTTCATGCGGGTATCGTAGTTTTGAGAATGCTTGGTGAAGATCTTGTAGGTGTCGGTATCTGTGTGAGGGGTTGGAGCAAATGCGGTTGTATCTCAGCACTTGGCTGTAGACGATGGATCGTGTGGTGTGTCCGGGGTGGAAGCTGGAGGCATGAAGGTAGGCATAGCGGTCAGTGGGTTTTCAGTATAGGGTGGTGTTAACGTGACCATCACTTATTTGTACTGTGGTATCTAGGAAGTGGACCTCCCGTGTAGATTGGTCCAGGCTGAGGTTGGTGGTGGGGTGGAAGCTGTTGAAATCGTGGTGGAATTCTTCCAGAGTCTCCTTCCCATGGGTCCATAGACTCTAAGGTCAGAAGGGACCATTATGATCATCTAGTCTGACCTCCCGCATGATGCGGGCCACAAAAGCTGACCCACCCACTCCTGGAATAATTCTCTCCCTTGACTCAGCTGTTGAAGTCCCCAAATCATGATTTAAATACTTCAAATCGCTGAGAATCCTCCAGCAAGCGACCCCTGCCCCATGCTGCGGAGGAAGGCGAAAAACCTCCAGGGTCTCTGCCAATCTACCCTGGAGGAAAATTCCTTCCCGACCCCAAATATGGCGATCAGCTGAACCTCGAGCATGCAGGCAAGATTCTCTAGCCAGACCCTCTGGAAAAAGTTCTCTGTAGTAACTTTTAATATCCCATCATTGACCATTGTTACTAATTACCAGCGATGGCACGTTATTGACCTATTGACTAAAATCACTTTATCCTATCAAACCATCCCCTCCATAAACTTATCAAGCTTAGTCTTAAAGCCAGAGAGGTCTTTTGCCCCTACTGTTTCCCCCGGAAGGCTGTTCCAAAACTTCACCCCTCTGATGGTTAGAAACCTTCGTCTAATTTCAAGCCTAAACTTCCCGACGGCCAGTTTATATCCATTTGTTCTCGTGTCCACATTAGTACTGAGCTGAAATAATTCCTCTCCCTCCCTGGTATTTATCCCTCTGATATATTTAAAGAGAGCAATCATATCCTCCCTCAGTCTTCTTTTGGTTAAGGTAAACAAACCAAGCTCTTCGAGTCTCCTTTCATACGACACATTATCCATACCTCGGATCATCCTAGTGGCCCTTCTTTGTACCCGTTCCAGTTTGATTTCATCCTTTTTAAACATGGGAGACCAGAACTGCACACAGTACT